CATTACAACTGCCTCATTTAAAGGGCAGTTTTGACCAGAATGACACATTTGTGAGTCACACAATGGGGAACAGGTTGTGACTTTGCTCAGAAATCTACCTTGCTTTGGCTTCCTGTCAGCAGGGCTGAAAGACCAATACCTGTCACGGCACAATGTCCATGTGTGGCAAGAGGGACCCAGTTTAACCCCCTGTACCCCTCAGGACCTGCTCTCACCCAGCTAAGCATGCAGAGCCAGTTAAAAGCCACACCTGCACACTCTGTATGGGCGGTTGACAACGTGCACGTAGCCTTTATGCATGCATGTTTCCTTGCAGTGTCTGAAACCAGGCTGATAAACACCTCCTCAAACTGGTACTCAGCTTCATTCTCTGTTATCCAAACATTTCATCAAAGGCCACTTACCTACAAAGCAGACACCTCAACCCAAGCCAGACAAGCCACATACCAAAAGCCTTTTGAAAACAAGGAACCAAACCTGAATTTATTTGCTAATAGTAAAGGGGTGACAGCCGTTATTTTATACCTGCAATATTTTGCAAATTCTGAAACTCTCATAAGGTGTTTACACCATTAATTAGCAAAACACTGTCATCCCCGAGGTGCCAACACAGCAGCTGTTTCAGCTGAACAGAAAAGAAAAGCCAAGAGGGCAAGGTAACAAAGCTAGGAGTGCTCCCATGAGCAGCCCAACTGCTCTGAGCACCCCCATGCTGCCAGCCCACGATAGGGAAGTGCTCCTGTTCCAACATGGGGTGACTTCACCTCTACCACCCCAGAGGGCTGTACCCCCTCTTCCACCTGGGTGCATGAATGGGGGCTCTGACAAAGAGCCACCTGTTGCAGCCTGAGCCCTGTATTTCTCAGGATATGGGTCCTCCCAGGAAGCTGGTCATAAATAGCTGATTAACCCAGAAGGGATCTCTCTAGGCATTCATCCCTCTGACCCTCCACAAAAGGAGATCATAGAAACTCCCTCAATGATCTCCCCTTCCAACTGCAGCATGAAAAGAACCAAAATAAAATCCTAGGAAGTTACCCTGTGATGCAGAGGCTATCACAGCTTTTTGATCCATTACTCTGTGAACAGGGCTTCATTTCTAGCTTAAGCATGCCTAGCTAAACCTGCCAAGTGCAGAGCCCTGCTCCTGAACTCTGAGCTGGGCAGAGCAGCCCTCCATCATCAGCTTCAGTTCCTCACCTTCTCCTTCAGGCACCTCCAGACCATGGCTGCACCACCACAAACCTCCCTGAAGGGTCAGTGCTCAGGCCAAGGTTGATGCAGCTGATGGTAAGGGACAAGATGAAGGACTATGGCGATCAGGGGGACAGGCTGGGACCCTTCCCCTAAGTAAGGGACATTTGGATGGCCACCAGTGAGGTCCTACACACACTGACTGATGTTGTCATTATAGTGCAAGAGTTCTAGTATCATTACATTGCAAGGGCTCCATATTACTAGGGTTTCATACCTCCTTGATGTTGCTTGTATGCAGCTCCTCTGAGGCACTGACTCTTCCTTGTCCTCAGAGCAACCAACTGGCTCCAGTTCCCCTTAACCAGCCAATCCACTCTTTTATAACACTCTTCTGACTGGCTACAGGTGTGGCCTGTTAAAATCAGGCCTGATCCTAAGCCTTAATAATTGGCTCAGCTGCATCTCTTTAGGGGGTAAGATTACTTTCTATACTACCTTTATTTACTTATATTCTATCCCCCTACAGACTAAGGATGCCACTTTGCACCACAGCAAGGTTTGCACCCCTGGCTGCAGATGGGTGGGCAGAAGGAGGATGATCCTCTTCACAGCACTCCCCCTCTCAGATGACAACTCTGACCACAGGCTGTGGCTGTGATGTCCTTTGTCACATTAGGCAGGGCCCCTGGTGTGACCCTGCTGGGCTCATTCCCTTCTCTGGATGCCTGCAGCAAGCACTGGAGACACAGCAGCACTGCCCTCCCAGACAGGGATTCTTGGCAGCGGGGCAGTTCCTGCAAAGCCCACCTCAGGCTGTCATGTTCTGCCTCCCATGGGCTCCCTGCAGTCAGGAGTAAAGGAGAGAGATCTCCTTAGTAGTACCTGTGGCAGCAGATCTAGCCTGGAGGAGGCTGTATCCTCTTAAGAGGGTTGGGAGCTAAATTCTGCTGGACTAAAGAATTTTAATCTCATTTTTGATATTTTTCATCCCTCTCTGTCACCTCAATACCATTACCATCCTTCCAGAGTGCATTTGCTTAGAAACATCCCTCTTGGGACAGAAAGAGTTCTGGGTTTGGGGCACCCAGCCCCTAAGGCCCCTGAGCAGTGCCAGCAGCACAACAGCATCTGCCCACCCTTCTTCTGACAAGAAACTGGGCTGAAGGATCCTGTTCATCTTCAGAGCACAGCAGCAAAGGCAAATCACCCATGGAAAGTCTGCAAGCAGCTCTGGGGCTCTCTGGTTTATGCTGGGTTATGCAGATTCAGGTCAAGAAAAAGCACAGAGTTTGTTTAAAGACATTTTGTCTTCCACATTCAGGAGAAGAAAATGGGCCTGTCATTTACAGGAAAAGGAAAGGCCTTACATTGCTCTGAGAAGGAGCAGGATCCCACACACCTTTCAATCCTTCCAAGGATTTGGCCATCACATTCTCAAAAGCAGTGATAGGAAAAAGAAAAAGCAAGCTGTTAATAAAATATGGAGACAGCTTAGGAATTTGCTTGTGAAAGTCCATGATAAAAAACCTCCAGCTGAGATACAGCTTCTACTTCATAGTCCCCTGTGCTCTGCTTCATCTTTCCTTAAATGCAAGGGGCACAGGGCTTCTGTCACTCCTTGAGCATGACTGCTTAGTGTCTGAGAGGTTTCACTAGTCTGAGGAAGCTTTTCCTTCACATTCAACTTAAATGTGCCATTTCTTGAAGGCATCCCCTTGTCTTTTATACTCTGGCAAGCAGAACAAGTGTAAATTAAATGGAAGACACGTGAAATCTTTATAAAGCCCAGTGTTTCCCTTACCATGAAAGTTCTTTCATTTTAGAGTGGAAGGGGTCTTTACTCTGTGCTGTATTTTCCCCATCAGAAAATGAAGAAGAACATAAATTTTCCTCATGACTTGAATTTAGCTTAATCAGCAGCCCCCTGCTGATGTAATTCAACCCTATGAGATTTTTTCTTTTTTTTTCCTGGTGAGCTGCTGCCCCTTTTCCCCTCCTCCCACCAATTCAGGCATGGAAAACAAGGGAGGAACTAGACAGAACTTACTATCTATCAAGCTCTTCAGACTGGGCAGGAATAACATTTAAAATATAAAAAGCAAATTTTATGAAGTCTTTTCCTCCCCAGAGACTGCCACAAAAATATTCCTTGTTTGTCACTGACAATGAACAATTTTTCTCTTTCATGTCTGCTTTCTGTCACATATTTCAGTTCGGCTGCCCCTTCTGTCTTTCAGCTAGGGACATAGGCTGCTAACACAGAATCACAGGTAACTCAACAACAAAATGCCTGTATTATCTTTCTTTTTTTTTATCCTAGTCTGTCAAGTAATTGCAACTCTAAAAGCTTTTGCATATTTACCACAGAAACATGTCTCTCCTGGAGGATGGGACTGTCATCAGATAGAATATCTTATTTAATAAGCCTCTTCTAAGGTATAAACTAGGGCTGGGGATTTTTTCCTGGCCTCCTTCAGAGCAAAGGACAAGCAGATAAAGATCAGCTGCTGCAGTGCTGCACTAAGTTCCTGTGAAAATTAACCCTCTCCAAGCTCAGAGTTCAGGTAGGCTTTGTCACTGTGAAATTAATTAAGTAGGAAAAGAGTCTGTTACCAACTCATGTTGGTTTTTCAACCCCAGTCCTCACCATGTATGAGACAGATTTCTTCTCTATTTACAAACAGATCAACTACCAACTACCCTGCTTTTTTGTAACCCATCTGATGAGCCGTGGATGCTGCCAGGACTGATTCCCATTAAATCCGGCATGAAGGAGGATCGGATTTTCTCTCTTTGCCCCTGTTTCACAGAAGTACAACGACAAAAAAATGTGGTCTGAACATTTCTAAATTCAGCTGTTATCTAAAGGCAAATTCCCTTCACCCCCTTCTCTATTTCCCCTCACACCTGAAGCAGCAGTAGACCTGCTTTTCTGGGTCCCTAGAATGCTGAATCAAGCTGACTGCTACCAAAGAGAGGGTCTGAGAACATCTGCAAGGGAGACTTTGTGTCTTGGGAGTCAAGACAGAGGGTGAGGATGCCCTGCCAGGAGCTATGAAAAGAGGCTGCTCTGATGAAACTGTTCAACAGGCTGAAGAGGAATATACCTGGTTCACACATTTCACTTCAGGCACACCTGTGCTGAGGTCACAGCTCCATGCTAGCCCGTAACAAAGCACTGTGAGTGGGAATCAAAAGACAACAGGTCCTCACTCCAACACCAAATCACTGACAATACTTGCCTGGAGGAGAGCTGACAAGAGCCAGCCAGAAGACTCCCATTGACTCAGAGCCTGTGTGAAAACTAGCCCTTGACAAACCATCTTCTGCAACCATACACTTTTCCTGTGGGCAAACCTTACACTTGTTAAGTCCCTGGTTTCATATATGAGTACCGACTGGAAGACACATTTGAGACTGTCTGATTGACTGTTTAGGTTCAAGTAATTCTGAAACCAAGAACCTATATCCATTGACCTGGAATGGAAATGTGGACATCCCCTCTCCTGGAAACAGTTCCAGAAAGAACAAACTGATAGAAGTGAAAGACTTTCTAAACTGTAACTGGCAAACTCTATTTTTGCAACACTTCATGATGATTTACAAACTTAAAATGGCTTTCAATGCAAGTAAACTCCTAACAAGAGGTTAGGACATCATTTTTTCTTATCATCAATAAGCTAATCTAAGAGCCATCTCTGTTTAGAATTAAGGGATGAATCTCACTCATTTAAATGAATGCAAGAAAATTCCCATAGGTAAAATACTTCTTCTAGCAGTGTTACATGAGCCCAGTCTCTTACCTGTAGTATCTGGATTGAAGGTAAGTAGAACACACAGCCTTAGACACATGGCTAGCTGAACCAAAGTCTATGACCTTGACCCTGTATGGCTGTCGGGATGGGTCTACCAGCATGATGTTCTCTGGTTTGAGATCAGCATGAATCAGTCCCAGGCTTTTCAGCTTCATTAGGGCAGTTGCTACCTGCTGGAGAATTGGCCGAATGTACTTAAGGGGCAAGGGACTGAATTTATTTTGTTTTAAGAAATCATAGAGGTTCTGCTCCAACATTTCAAATACCAAGCATGTGTGATTCTTGTGCTGGAAGCATTCATAAGCACGGACAAAGTTGTAGTCATCCGCGCTTTCCGTGCTCAGCCGAGCCAGGATGCTCACTTCAATCTGGCCTTGCCGGGCATAAGAAGGGTGGTTTTTTAGGATCTTGATAGCCACAATCTCATTAGTGCCACGTTTCCAGCATTTGACTACTTGTCCGAAGGTTCCACGGCCAAGAAACTCTAACACTTCGTACGTGTTGGTCATGGAACAGAGCACCTCATGTTGCACCAGCTGGTAATCCCCTTCACTGTTGGAGCCACTGTTTTTGGAAGTGGCCGTGGAGGTGGTGGCGGTGGCTACAGTGGCCCCACTGGCATTGTTCTGAATCATTGGCGGATGCTCCTCGATAATCTGCACGCTGCTTGTGTTCTCAATCTCCTCGCTCTTGCGCTTAAGTCCACATTTTTGGTAGGTGTCCAGAAGGCTCACAGTGCTGCGACGCATCAGGTTGTGCGGCCCGCCCAGCGTTTGCCCAGACACCGCGACCACGCCGGAGGTGCTGTTGGCAGATGTAACCACGATGTGCCCTGTGCTTGCTGGGAAGATGATGGTCTGCTCGTAAGGGATGCTGGGGTTGGGGATCTGCAGGGAGGCGTTGACGGCTGCTGCGGCGGCTGCTTGGGAGGACTGCACGTTCTTGCCCTGGTTGTAGACTTTGCTGTGTGTGCCGTACCCAGTCATATCCCAGTTCGAACTCGGCTCCACTTTCAGTTTCTTCACGCTACAGAAGGCACTTGACTGAAGGGTATGAGGAGAGAAAACTTGCACATGCGAGGCCATACCTGCAATACAACATCAGAGTGAAACCACTGAGTCAAGATGCCTTCCCCAGCTTTTTTCATTTGCCCAGTGGCAGGAAAGGGAAATGGGATACAAGCTTGAGATACATTACATGCACACACACAAAAAGCAAGTTCTTCCAGAAATATGTATTTGACACAAGTAAAATATTATGCTCTAAAATAAATCCTTACCCCAGATTGAACTATACTAACAACATCCAAGATTTCTGCTGTCTTGCTCTCTGCCTTTTCATTTTTAATAACAGGAATGTACATGTTATTTTTACCTCCTCTGCCTAAAGAGACTCCTATTCCCATTGTCTCCAGGAATATATCTAGCTCTCTGGAAGAACTCATGTCAAATACTGCAAAGTATTCTGACTACAGAAGCCAAATCTCAAATCCTCAGGCTCATCCAATCTTAAGCAGTTTGGTGGATCTGACTTAAGCCCTCCACTTGTGCCCATAAAACCAGTGTGTAGCTTCTGGCCTGCAAAGAGTGAAGATGGGACCAGGAGATGATACACTGTGGACAAATGGAGGTGCATAGATAAAGTTGAGGAGCTAGAATAGAAGAAGATGATGTTTCAGATTGCTTGCCAACTCTGTGAGTGGGAATTGTGCACAATGCTAGTCTGTGCTCAGGGACACTGGAGATGGGAGTTACACAACATGAGCTTCACTGTGTGCTGTCAGTGCTCCCAGATTTATAAAATTTTGTTCATCTATTCTTATTCACAGTGACAATACCACCACTGGTAAGCAGATCCCCTAGAAATGAACAGCATTGTTTATGAAGCAACATACACATTAGCATGTGGCAGAATTAGCTCCTAATATAGCTTTATTTTTACAGGAAAGACAAAATCCTATTTTAATGCAAGCTTATTTGGTTTCAGAAGAGTTAATGATCTTCTAAATCTTTTTTAAAAAAAACCCAGACCATCAAAAAACAACCCCACAACCTCATAACCAAAGTGAAAATAATGCATCACTCAGACAGACTTACTGAAGGATTCTGAGTAATATTCCACTGAAACAGAAAAAGTCCCTATTCAGAGAAGAAAAGATGTGGTGCACGGGGAAGGGGACAGCTAAGTCCTGACTTGCTGCCAGCTTTCCCTCCCCAGGGTAGGGATAGTACTGCTGGGGCAAACATTTTGTGAAGAACACAAATCCATGGGGACTTCTGGGGAAGGAATCAGCACCCGGCAGGAGTTAGAGCAGAAAGGCACAGCCTCCTTCACCCTTCTATCTGTCATCAGTGTTTCTTTTTAATAAACCAGAATGACTAGGGAAGAAAAAGACAATATGCTGAGCTGGCACCATTGTTGAATTATTAAGCACAAACATAACCTTGACTTGTTTTCAACTTAAAAAAGTTAAAAGCTGAATGAATGCTTCAGTAACAAAGCCACAACAAACTCTGCAGTGCACATGGATGACTTCTTCATGTGGAGGCATGACAATTTTTGACTTGGCCTGCTCATACCTCACTAGTCCATGTTCCTCTTCAGAAGATTTTCTGGAGCTCATGTGTACACAGACACACTCACACACATGCATGCATAAACTTGTATTGAAAAATGTGAATGTCACTCCACACTCACAAAGCTCAGTAGTCAAGTTAACAGATCTAAACACACCCAACTCTCTTTTTCCACTTAATTCCCAGCAGCCCAAAGGCCAGGAGGGGCTCAGGAGAGGGGTGCTGTGGTGAGGCAAAACCTACAATGAGTAACTACTCAGAAGTAACAGGCCAAGCAATCTCTCCACTTTGCTTCAGCACCCCTGCCTTCACCCCTTCCACAGTGAGGAATTTCTGAGGACAGAGCAGATGCAGAAGAAAACCCCTTCAGGACACATGGGGAAACCTGTGACGGTGTTCATAGGGGTTCTTGGATGAGGGAAGAGATGAGAATGTTGACTCCATGTTTCAGAAGGCTTGATTTATTATTTTATCAGATATATATTACATTATAACTATACTAAAAGAAATAGAAGGAAAGGTTTCATCTCAGAAGGCTAGCTAAGAATAGAATGGAATGAATAACAAAGGTTTCTGTCTCGGACAGAGAGTCCAAGCTAACTGGGCTGTGGTCGGCCATTAATTGTAAACATCCAGGATGGGCCAATCCCAGATCCACCTGGTGCATTCCACAGCGGCAGATAACCATTGTTTACATTTTGTCGCTGAAACCTCTCAGCTTCTCAGCAGGAAAAATCCTAAAGAAAAGGATTTTCACAAAAGATGTCTGCGACAGAAACCCTCCCCTGGGCTTGAACACAGCACACAACACCCCACTGATCCCAGTCTAGCAACAAAGCCCTGAAAATCATAGAAACCATAGCATACTCCCCTCTGCAGACATGACTCCTGTCTCTAAGTGGATTTAGGATTTTTACTGTTGTTCCTTTTACCCCCTGCTCCCCCAACCTCCTGGCTGCAACTGGATGCTCAGACGCCCTCCAGCTCCTTGCCCTGCTAGAGAAGTACCTTCTCTCCTCTCTCCTTTCCACAGGGCAATGATGCTGTCACCAATGCCATGGCATGTGGTGGGTGGTGAGCTCAGAGCACCACAGCAGTGCTACTCAACTTGGCATCCTGGACACAAAGATCGTGTGTGAGTGAGCCAAAACCGTGTTTGTTTTTCCACTGATTAAGAAGAATCACGGTGTTCCTTCTAGTACAGTACTGACCTGCCTGGAGAGAGGGGGTGGTTTGATGTATGTTTTCCCCCTGGACGCAAATAATATGGCAGATGTAATTGGTAACATATTGTGGACCTAGCAGAGGTGTAATTTATAGTTTTATGGCTTTCATTCCACGGCGTGCTTGAGCAATCTCTCCTCGTAGAAAATGAAAAGGGAAAAAATGACTGACGCAGAACAAGGCGAGACGTTCTTCCCGCACTCTCCTCTAAAGATAACACCAAAGGACTGAGGCATGGCAAATTAAAGTCAAGGATGTGAAGCACAGCAGCTGCAACTTTCTCAGTGCCACTGTAAAAATCAGGATAATCGCCACCATTAAGGGACAGGCTTTCAACTGGTGCAAACTGGCAGGGCTCCACTTGATATCAGCTGATGCTAAAAACAAGGTCAGCAGTCACTCAACATTGTCAATGTCAGATGGCTGCTGCCTGTGCCCTTTGGTGAAACGAGTTGTTGTTAGGGACTGGTTTCCACATCAACAACCAGCCCCTTGCTGTCCCTGAAACACTGCTGGCAGCCTCAGCAGAGGACAGGAACAGGGGATAAACACTGACTCACCCCAAAAATGGAGGGGATGAAAGCAGCAGTGCTTCTGTGGATAAAGCGAGGAGTTTGGACTCTTCTGCTGCCAGTGCTGCCCTCCTCAGAGGTTACATCTCATCACAGAAAAGGTTTTTTCTTCTTCTCTAAAAAAAGAACTAGGAAATCTTCTTCCTTACATCCAAAATTATTTTCTCACGTTTGAGGTTTTAAGGGCATGCATTGTAAGGAAAATAACTCCGTGAGTTCTTCAGCACACTCCGATACCAAGAAATTACAGGGTGATTGACAGCTTGGTGATGGGAAAAGGCGGCTTCTGCAGAAAAGTAATTTTTATTGCAAATTTTCCTGTGCAGTTAATGCGAGAAAAACACAATCCTAAATTTCCTGAGGACACAATAAAACTGTGCTGGTGGCATGTTGTTTCTTTCAAAAAGGATTTTTGCTCCATGGCAATAGCAGGAATAGTAATAAATGTGAATAAAAGTTGTATGGTTTTGTTACAGGAATCAAATTCCTCATTACAGCCTGTAATATGATTTACACCTTCAGCCTTTTGATTACACGGGCTGACAACAGCTTGCCACAACGTCCATGAGGGAACAAGCCAGCAGTAATGGGGTGATCCATGGCAGCCAAGCCCAGTGGCACCAATGCCTTAGAGACAGTGGGAATGTCCCCGGGGAGCATTCCTGCTCCTGGGGTCCTGGAAAGACAGAGGGGCCATAAACTGCTGAAGGATGGAAAATGGGATGTTTCACTCAGGAAAAGTTCTCTTAACCCCCCATTCACAGGTCTGACAAGAAACCTCCTGTGCAAGGCTGGGCCTCTCATATCACTTCCCTTCTCTGCAGGAAGATCCTAGCAGTTAACTTGCTGCATTTTGCATGGAATGCCCAAGGCTGGCACCTGGCTCCTGATCTTTCTGCACTCTGACAGGAGTGGAGGGAGTGAGGATATTTGGCATGAGCAGCTTCACCCACTGAGCATTCCTGCCCACCTGAAGCCCAGCTCAGCAGCCCCACCTACACCACCAAAAGCTTTGGCTGGACTAAGCCAAGTGGGAATTCCAACTGAGCTGTTCCCTGCCCTGGCATGGGTGCAAGGCAGGCCTCTATTAGCCAGCCAGGATGAAGCCAGGATGCCACAACAGCTAAATGCATGTCCTGAAGAGTGTAAGTCTAAGTTTTATATCACCCCTGAGCACAGCGAATCTCTGGGCTGGGAGCAGAATCAGGGCTGGGCACCATGCATTAAATAAAATTGATAGTTCCTTTCTTTAATAATGAGTTTAGTGTAGTCATTTAAAGCTCTCACAAAACTGATAGTAACTGGACTTAATGGGGCCTTCCCTGTCCTTGATATGACTCACATAACTCCTCATAGCATCTACATGAGCTGAAGTAGGTAGGGTGCAGCCAGGGGACAGTGTTAAAACAGCTGGAATGACTTTTATTTAAAGACTTGAGGTTTTTTGTTCCTGAGAACTCCTCCCACGTCAGCTTTCACTTAATAATAATTTAGCAGGTGCTATTTACAATTCAGATGTCCCTCTTCTGCATGCACACACAAATCACGCAGCCGCCCCACTTGTACTTCTAACAGGTTTCAGGAAAGCAAATGAGGTAAAGTTCCCTATCCACCCACGTCACCCCAAAGGGCAAAAAATACACTTTGGGGACTAAAGAAGGAACAGTTTGAAAGTCTCTGATGTTTTCTTCTGGTTTACTACCAGCACTTACTGC